CCGGGGTCCCCACCCCATCCTTTGGTCCCTGGGTTTCCTGGAGCCCCAGGGCTCCCCTCCTCGCCTTTGCTTCCGGGAAAAGCAGCAGGCCCGGGTGGCCCCGGGGGGCCTGGATAACCTGTCAACATGAGTCACAAGAAAGGGGGGTTTAAGCAGGAGGAAGGCACTGTCACGGCCATGGGGAGCGGGACTCACAGCAGGGGTGGGGGAGCACCCAGGAGGCCAGACGGAAAGCCATCCATGTAGGGGACGGTCTTCAGCAAGTTTGCAACACTGGGCACCTTTGTTCTTTTGATTGTGGTAAAATACAAGTGGCACACGTTTGTCATTCTAACCATGTTTCATGGCATTAAGTACATCCATGTTATACAATCATCACCACCATCTCCCCCAGAACTTTTTCGTCATCCTAAACGGAAGCTCTGCCCCCATTACACACTAACTCCCCTTTCCCTCTCCCCGCCCCGGCGGCCCCCATGCTCCTTTCTGTCTCTGTGAGCTAGACCCTCACACGAGTGGGAGCCCAGAGCTGGGCCTTGTGTGTGGGCCCCAAAGTGCGAAGTGAGAGCCCTGCTTACCTTTCAGGCCAAATATCCCCGCGGCCCCTTGGTCACCAGGCGACCCAGAGATGTTGGAAGGGGGTGTGAACCCTGGAAACCCTTGTTGTCCTGGATTCCCAACTGGGCCTCGTTCCCCTGAGGAGGGAAACAGGAGGGGTTGCTGTTAGTTTCGGCATCGACGTCTTCATGTGCTGTTTCCCCGCCTGCTACCACCTGTCCAGGAGCACAGCCGCCAGGAGAGGCGGTGACAGAAGGGAACGCTGAGCACAGTTCTTGGGGTGGGTAGAGGGAGGCAGTGGCCTTGGGGCCCCCACTTCCACCAGCCCCGTCTGCTGCTGAGAGTCCCTTGGACCCACCTCTGCTTGGATCTCATTCTCACAGGAGGCTACTTGCTCAGAGATGCCTCACCATGCCCGCCCCCCCTCCCCACCGTGGCCCGCCCTGGCGGCATCACCTGAGCAGTGAGGTCTGCTGGCGCCGCCAGCACTTGTGATGGGACAGAAGTTTCCAGTATTGGCAAGAGGAGGCCTCTGGACCACCTTGACATTTTCAGTTCTCTCTGTGGCTACTTCAGTGTCTTGGGCCCCACTATGGACAGAGCCCATCCTCATTGCTCACAGATTCTGTACTTGCATTTGGCCTGTGCACTAAGGTTTATGGTGACTCTAAATCAATCCTTGCGGCACTCCTGGACAAGCAGGAGAGGCAGGAAATTTCAGTCCCTGCTGAGGTCCTCATGCAACTCAGTGTAAACACGGATCCTTTTATGTCTATTTAGTGCCACGATTTTTGCACATTTGTGCTTCTTGTTGGTGATTTCACTATTTAAACTGGTCCCCAAGCACAGTGCCAAAGTGCTGTCTGGTGTTCCTAAGCTCAGGTGCCTCATGTGGAAAACGTGTTAGGCCCTGGCCAGGTGGCTCAGTTGGTTGGAGCATCGTTCCGTGCACTGAAAGGTCGTGGGTTTGATCCCTGGTGGGTATGTGTGTGAGGGGCAAGCAATCAATGTTTCTCTCCCACATCCATCTGTCTGTCTCTCTGTCTCTGTCCCCCTCTCCCTTCCTCTCTCTAAAAAATAAAATAAAATAAAAAATTCAATAAAAACATATCTCTCCGGTGAGGATAAAAATATATATATTCAAAACAAACAAAAAGGAAACGTATGTTAGATGAGCTTCCTTCAGGCATGAGTTATAGGGCTGATGGCATGAGGTCAATGTTAATCAACAATTTATATTGAATAAGGTGCCTTTCACCAGAAAGATACATAAAACAAAGTTATGATTTGATCAGTGGATGAATATGTGAATGGAGCTTGCAGGAACCAAACCCTGCACTCCCACTAGAAGCAATGGTTCGGTATTCCTTAATTCAGTGTTTGCAGCAATTTTATACAGCACAACTCCTGTAAGTAGCAAGAATCGACTGCATTTGAGTCAAAGGCTGGAGCCCTTCGGCACCAATCGAGGACAGATCCTGGAGGGCAATCCTCACGTAAGGATTGTCTGTGGGCATCGTATTCACCTAAGGATCGTCTGTGGGCATTGTATTCCTCCCTTTGCTTTCACTAGCACAACATTTTATGGGTGCTCTTCTGTGCCAGATGGGCATGGCTGCTGCCCAGGCAGTGGCAAGACAAAGGGCCAACAGGGACGGGGACTAGTTCTCCCCCAACTGTCCTATGAGTGTTTGTTTTGCCTTAAGGTCTGGGGACTCAGGTTAGTACTAGAACACCGCAAAAAATCAGAACATCACAGTATCCAGGTCCATCATCTCTATGTAGAGGGCAGAGTGAGCTGGGACCACACAGTGATGATCTGTGAGACAGTGGTCTCTTGTGTCCACCACGTGGCTTCATGACTAATCCCGATTCATCAGCAACATGAAGAGACTTTCACATTGGGAGGGTCTGGCGCCAAGCACAGGGGACAGGGCACTGTTTCTGCAAATTCCGGGTGGTACAAAGCGCGTGCCAGGACAAGCGTTTAGAGAGGTGTTGTCTTGGTCTCACTAGTTACAGGCAATAAGCAAGCGCGTTTACTTGATCAAGGGGATTAATTAGCTGCCATCTGGAGTTTGATATAAATTGACACCAAGTGAGCTGCTTCTAACTATTGTCATAAAGGAACTGAAAGAGATGGTGAGTGGCAGTGACTAACGGCAAAACTCTTGGGTTAGAAGCTCCACATTGGCCAGATTCCCAAGAAAACATACTGAAAACATACTAACTACAGAGACTAGGCCTCTCTTACTGGGGACAGGGTATGAGCACAAGTTAGTTTGCTGCAATCAGGGCCAAAATAACTCTGTTTTCTCTGTGGCCCCCACGAATGTTCCTCAGTATTGAAATAAAAGCCCTGCCTAATGCAAGATCGCCGAAAGGCCATTCTGTAAAACTCATAGGCAAATCCCGATCCGAAGTCCGAACATCAGCTGCAGAAATAATTGAGGCTGCAAATTGGAGCTTTGGAAACTCCTGCAGATTGACATTATTTCCCGATACTTAGAGAAGAGTGCGGGTCCTGACCAGCCATGGGTGAATGTCACCCCTGAAAGTCACCATTCCCTCTCCCCAGTGGCCCTGTGGGCAGAGTGAAGGGTCTGCTCCAGCCTTCAGGACCACTCAGAAGCCACCTGTCACTGGGCTACCATGACTTTCATGCAGGACCAGGACTTTGTGAGGGGACAACAGCTTTAGAAAAGAGTCACTATGCTTCAGGGCTGTTTGGGAGCTGGAGATATGTTCAAGGTCCCCTTGACAGAGTGCAGGGAGCTACACAATACATGCCAAGAGTTCTGAGAAACTGATGCTGCCCAGGTGAACATGTAATAGGACCCTTCCAGGTAATTTTGGGATATCCTTGAGCACGCGTAACCTCTTCAACAGAGGTCTGAGTTACAGTTTCACACTATTAACCTTGAACCAATATTGAGCCAGGCATTTAGCTGACATATACGCACAGGAATGAAATCAAGCTAGTTCCTGCTCTTGTGTCCTCTCTCTCTGGTCAGCTGCAGAGTCTGAACAGCATGCTGTGTAAGTCGGATGTTAATACACCCCGTGTGATACAGGTCACGATGCTGCAATGCTGTGTGAGCGCGGGCTACGGCCAGGATTGTGTGTGCCGTGTGGAACTGAGGTCTCTTACTTCCTCCCAGGCTGGGTCTCATCTCCATCCTCAAGGGACTTTTTTCTAACCCCATTCAGAGGGCAGATGGGTGACCTGACAAGCGTGACTTCACATCTCTCCCAGTCTGGCCACCCAACAGCATATTGGGTTCTGGTTATGCAGATGGTAATGTTGGAAGTGTCTGGCCTCACCTGGAATGCCTTGCTCCCCCTTTTGTCCCGGGGCTCCGCTAGGACCCGGTAGGGTGTTGGCCTCTCCTGGCTCACCCCTGTCCCCAGCAGGACCTGGGAAACCCGGGTCTCCGTGGATGTCTGCACCTGTAGAGGGTTAAACAGTGGGACGTCAGCATCTTCAACCACGCCACGTTAACCTTCACAAGTAAAGGACCAGTGATGCCCTTCTGTGAGACTCACACATGGAAAACCGGAAGTCAGTGGCATCAATCTCAGGTTGTTACGTGGCCTCAGTGTCCCACAACCTGAGGCTGGCACATCATTGCTCTGAACCGAACTGTCTCCCCAGCATGCATATGTTGAAGGCCTCATTTCCAATGTGATGGTTTTTGGAGGTGGGGCCTCTGGGAGATGATTCAATGTAGATGAGGTCAAGAGGATGGGTCCCAGGATGGGATGTGCTTATTAGAGACCCCAGAGAGTGTGTTCCCTCTCCCCACCAGGTAGGGAGAAGGTGGCCATGTACAAGCCAGGAAGAGGACCCTCACCAGTACCCATGCTCAGATCTCAGACCTCCAGTCCCCAGAACTGTGAGGAATAACTGTCTGTCATTTGAGCCCCCCAGTCTGTGGTGTTTTGTTATAGCAGCTCAAGCTGACTAAGACAGCAGGATCCGTTTCAAAACACAAGGAGAGCCCCACCACAGGCTGGGCCCCAGCTGCCTTCCCTGTGCCAATGAAATGAAAGATTACAGATGCTGCTGAAAAAGCACACCATTTGTTTCTCTCTCCCTCTACAAGCCCGATGGTCCTATTCAACACAATGTCTGACTTAAGGGGATGGATTCTTAGGGATCCCATCTCAGTGTCTTTAGAACCGCAGGGACCCTAAGTCCACAGGGCCTCAGGGATGATCAAACAGTCCTCACGGAGCAGTCCTGCTCTCTGAACTCCCCCAACCACACCTGGCATCGTAGATGGCCCTCCCAGCCCTCCCCTTGCCCCTGTCCCCGAGTTGTTGCAAGGGCCATGGGTACCTGGGGATCCGGGAAAGCCTTTGGTGCCTGGTAAGCCGTCTAATCCCCCGATGCCTCGGCTGCCCGCTGAACCTGTGTGGGTTTCACTCATGGTTATTTCATGCATGGGAGAGCAAAGAAAGAAACCCTTAAAATAATTCAACATGTTTTCACTTGCTATGATACGGTCACCCATCCAATTTATTCAAAAGCCCCACAAACAGGAAGCAGTTCAGCATACAATCTGACATGTGCTTTTATGTCACCTGAGAGAACCATTTAACGTAAAGATTGATTTCCTAAAATCCTTACAGACTCATTAGAGCCGGGAGGGAACTGGGAAGTGGTGCATTCTGTTCCTCTCCTTGGAGCTTGAGTCATTAGACATATTTGGTTTGTGAAAATTGCCTGGAACCAGTAGCCTGGCATTACTTCCAATCCCTCTGGATTCTCGAGGACAAACATTTCTAAAGTAGGATGCAGGAGCCCGGCCAGCGCGGCTCAGTGGTTGATCATCAACATGCCCTGGTCAGGGCACATGCCTGGGTTGCAGGCTCGATCCCCATTCGGGGGCGTGCAGGAGGCAGCCAAGCAATGATTCTCATCATCGATGTTTCTATCTTTCTCTCCCTCTCCCTTCCTCTCTGAAATCAATAAAAATATATTTAAAGTAGGACACAGGACACAGGTGGCAATTCTTCCTGTGGTGTGGACAGTGAGTGTGGAGGTGGATGGGTCACCTTGAATTCTGAGCAACAGAGCAGCTGCAGGCCTGTCCCTGACCAAGGCCTGCCCAGCATGGCGGGCTTGTCCCTGGAGCAGTGGCCTGTCCAGGTCAGGCTGCATAACTCTCTAAAATCCCGCCACGGGTTCCACTGGTCCTCGATCAGTGGGAGGCTGGGAAGCCTGTGGAGGAACAGCGTGGTGTCTGTCTGCACCCCCCACCTCCCCACCCCCCAGTTCCCTCTGGACTGCCCATGAGCTGACAGGGAGTGGGCCTTGAGGCTTCTGGGCAGTTTTCATTCATCATTCTGGGGAGCAAAGCACTTCTCTGCACACTGGCATATCTGTCCTTTTTACCAATGGGCTTGGACAACTGCAAATCCTGTTTCCGTGTGTTTTGTGTGGACAGTAAACCACACACACACACACACCTGCCTTTTTTCTCACATGGTCTTGGAGAAAACAGCGTGGAGGGAGGCTAGCCTGGCTCACGGTGCCTCTCCTCCACTGGCGCATGTGTTCTTGAACCATTGTGCGCTTGTGTCTGTGAAGGGGGGGACTGTCTTACCTGGTAAGCCTGGAACACCTGGCCAGCCATAATCTCCTTTGGTGCCGGGCACTCCGGCCCGGCCCGGGTCTCCTTGTGGTCCCTGCTGGCCTGTCAGTCCTGGGAAGCCTGGGGGAGGGGGACACATCCATAAGTCAGACACAGGAACCCTGAGGACCCTAGGAGAGCATTACCTGCCCAGCCTCAGGGCCTGCCTGCAGGGGACACGAGGGGGTGCTTGGGAAAGGACCAGCTTCCCTTCAAGCAGGGAATGGATGTGGCTTGGACCCTACACTGAAGTTCAGCGGGGTTAGCTCAGCCTTGCCAAAGAGAGAACAGCTCGTGTTTTCTTATTCTCATCCTATTTTCCAAACAGAAGTTTGGAGAGAACCCATGAAACCAGCCCTGGAGGATTAGCCTGTCAGAATCTCGGGTCCTGGGCAGAAGCAAACAAAGCAAAAGCAGTAATAAGCCAAGAAGCACAAAACTAGTTCACTGTTTGCTTCTGGTCATTAACTTGGGATCCCCAAAGGAATTTCTGCATATTCAAATTCATGGACGAGATCCCGGAACAAGAACCTAGGCTGTGTTTATGGAGAGACAGTCACTGGGCCACCCCCCTTCCACTGCTCCCCTGTGCGTCCCCCACAGCCAGGTTGGTTGTTTCTGCGTATTTGACCCGAGGTAACGGGCAACACGTAAGAGCAAGCTTCCTCGGGGAAAGTGCGATCCTAGCAGACAACTCCTTTCTTGGTGAGATTGGCTTTGTTCTGGGGTTTTGGAGATTGGGGGCGCTCAGCCATACTCTGCCCCACGGGCCGCTGAACCATCAAGCCATGCCCAGGGAAATGTATGCGCTGGAGGAAGGCTGCGTGACTACAGGAGACTTTACCTGCTTGCCCGATAACTCCGGGAGAGCCATGGGTTCCGGCTGTGCCCATTATCCCGGGGAAGCCGATGTCACCTGCTGTTCCTTTCTCTCCAAAGAATCCCTTTAGACCTGTAACCACAGATTTGCTGCTTGAAACAAACCATCGACATGGCATCGAACTGGGGCTTCATGCTTGTAGGGTTCAAGGGGATGCAAGGTAAAGGATGCTGCCATCCCACACTTGTACTTCTGTTGTGAATGGGGGTATCTAACATGTTCCTTCATCAACAGACTTTTTACCTAGTTCTTCCCTCTGGGCCTGTGATCAGCAGCCTCCAAGCCGGCACCCAGGGGTCCCCACGCTCTGGTGTTGACACCCTCATGTAGTTCCCTCTCACACTGAATGGGCTGAATTGTGTCACCACCGGGATACTGTGGACATCACGGTGTGTCACTTCAAGCTTAGGACATAATATTCTTCCTTGCTTTCACTTTGTCACTTTGTTTGCTGGGGAGGAAGCCAGCTGCCATGTTGTGAGGACACTCAAGCAGCTCTGAGGCCCTCGTGTTGAGGAACAGAGGCCTCCCATCAAGAGCCGAGTGAGAGCACCATTTTGGAGGAGGATTCTCCAGCCCCAATCCAGTCTTCGGATGATGTAGCCCTGCCGATGTCAGACTGGAATCTCATGGGAGACTGTCGGTCAGAACCACCTCGTTCCCGAATTCCTGACTCTCAGAAAATATATGAGGTAATACTTGCTTGTTGATGTTCCAAGTCACTGCATTTTGGGTACCTTGTTAAGCATCAATAGATAACTAATCAGAACCCTTATCAGAGTGGCTTTTAATGTGTGATGTGCAATGGAAACCTGGGGAATTTGTTAAACATGCAGATGTTTGAGTTTCTCCCAAAGGTGACTTGGCAGGTCTGGGAGAAGGCCTAGAATCTGCATTTTAACAAGCAGCTCAGGTCATTTGGAGGAGGTCTTGGACAGACAGAAAGAAGTGCCGCCTTCACGCTAGTGACAATGTTCTGTCAAATGCTGTGGTACGCTGGGATTTTGAAAACTTCAGACCAATGTGAATTCCACACAATCACTTTTGTCCAGTGTCTTCTTAAATCTATGAGGCTATGGCTTAGATAAAATACTGTTGTTGTGGTCTTAAAGAAAAACCACCTAAGAAGTTCTGCTTATTTTCTATTGATTCTTTTACTATTTTGAAAATCTGCTCAAACCCCTATGTACCCTGTTCATCTTCTTTCATACACCTTGGCCATCCTCTCCACCCAAACGGAGGGAGTCTAATGTAGCTTGTTGCTTCATCCTTTGAGAGACCAAGTCTGGTACCAGATTTCCAGTGCCTGTCACATGTGGGAGCTGATCTGACCCAGGACTCCACACTCACTCCCTCTGTCACATAGGGCAGGCTCTGTAGCTGATCCCACTTAGGCACACACCTCACTTGTCTTAGAATGAATGGAACACCCCCAAGGATAGCTGATACAACGGTCACTGCCTCCCTGCCGCTGGCGATGGACAGGGTGTGAGGTTCTATTTCCTGGGCCTACAGTTTAACTAAAACCCAAACACTCAAGGGTAACAACCATTATTCTTGGGGAAAAGCAAATTCTCTTCCCTGACACATTTTCAGTTGTACACATGAGGTCATTAGTGACACGTGGCAAAGGTGGTCTTGCATTTCTGCTGTTATAAACCAAACTGCCAAAGTATAATTATTTAGGACAGGAGATTTAGCCAAGCAAGAGCCAGAAGGCTCAGCAGCCCAGGGTACCCTGTGACTGAAAAGAAAGCCATCGGGAGTCCAAATTATAGATCCACGTGAGTCCAGAGAGGCTCATCGATGAGGTTGCCTATTCCTGACTGGTGGTCCTCTGATCCCATGCTAGACTGAATACTTCTTTCCAATCTGCAGCTCTTTCTAGTTTCTAGATAAAGAACCAGCTCAGCATCCTCCCATTGGCCAATCACATGAACAGACTCCCCCTCAACCAGGATTATCCCTAGAAAGACTTGGGGCTCCAGGAAGCTTAAGCAGTGTGAGGTCCCCCAAGATAAAATTTCCAGAAGAAGACATCATTCTACCAAAAGTCCCTTGGGTTCTGATTATATGCAAGAATTCTGACTTTGGACTTCAGGAATGCTCAGAGAGGCGTGACCTCACATCTGGCCCCCCAGTGCACACAGGGCCAGGGGCTACCCCTTCTTGTCTTACTCAAGAGATGGGCACGACTCCCACTGACCTTTCACTGTTTACAAGAAGCTCCAGTCACCCTATCATCTGCTCACGCCCTATAATGAGCCCTGGGAGCCAGGCTCTGCTTCTTCATGAGTCTCATTTTATGGACCATATAAAATGTTGATTTATGAGTGTTGATTCTGGCTACTTTCCCTTTCAGTGAGAGCCAGAGAGAGGTTCTTTGACTTTGTCTTCGGCTTTAATTTAATGAAGAATTCCGAGTCTCCCTTGCACACTGGGCTGGAAGACCTCAAACCATTCCCTCCAGCATGATCTATAATGCTTACCAAATAGTGATAGATTTGGCAAGCCAGCTCATATGTGATAGCACAAAGGGTCAGGGCTGTTGCTGAGAGGAAGAGATGGAGAATGACTTAGGTACCTGGTGTTCCAATGGCACCCTGTTCCCCCTTCAGGCCCGGGCTTCCTGGTAAATTTATAGTGTCGCCAACATCACCTGTTAGGTGCAAAAAAGATGGTTGGGAACAGGTGGTTAGTTTGGTAACTTCTGTCATGCTACGTCCTTAATAAGAACAATGCTTCACAGTAACTAATGGCACCTGCAGATCTGACATCACCGCAGCCCCCCAGAGTTCTCTGGGTGTGGATGCCCCCTTTCCTCGCCCAAGCGACACTCACCAAAATCACCCGTGCGGCCGCTCTCGCCATAAAGACCTGTTGTCCCTGGAGCACCCTTGTCACCCTAGAGTCAAACATAAAATGATCTTAAAGGGCTGTTCATGAAGTAAGTTTGTAATTTTGAAGGTTAGTGTACCTAATGATTCAGTATGCCAAAAACAACACCCAAAGTTTGGGATGCCATCATTTTATAGAAAACTCCTAAAGTTTTTTAAGAAGGTGGTTTGCTTGCCCCTTCTTATTAAATGTAGTAAAATGAAACAGGGTTGACAGCTTCATTGAAATTAGTAACATCACTGGTGCAGATCATGGTCATGATGGTGGTGAGAATAACCATGCTGACTGCAACCTCACCCTATGAGCCTGATTTTGTTTTTTTAAATCCTCACTGGAGGATGTGCTTTTATTGATTTTTTTAAGAGAGAGAGAAACATCCATTGGTTGCCTGCCTCCTGTACACGCCCAACAGGAGATCACTGGCCTGAAACCTTGGTATGTACCCTGACTGGGAATCGAACCCATAAACTTGGTGCACAGGATGATACTCCAACCACTGAAGCCACCTGGCTAGGGCATCAAGAGCTTTTTAAGCCTCACTACAACCCTATGAAGCAGATGCTATTGACAGGTTAGGAAACTGACACACAGATAGGTTAATATTATGCTCAAGGTCACTCAGCTACTAAGGGGCAGAATTGGGATACTGATTTGGGCTGCCTGATTCTCAAACTTGCTCTCTATTACATGGCTGTGCACATCCATCTATGGAGAGAGTGAGATTTCTTCTAAGCAATGTTTGTTGTTGATACTGAGATTGGGATGATGTCTGAATTACTCTGTGACTCCAAAGAAAACATGGTTTTCTTCCTTGAAGTGCCTCCACCTCACAGGGAGGGTGGGTGTTCTGGTCTACCTTACTCCCTCTGGTTTCTATTTTAGCATCAACCTGTGACTTCAGAACTGCCCTTTCCTAGCATGGTTTAACTTGAGCCTCTAAATTATTAATGAAGCCCCATTCTGTGGGAGGAGAGGGCGGATGTGCCAGAGGCTATACCCTTGCTGAGACGACTTTGTATGAGATCAGGGGACTCACATGCTTTGTTTTTCATTTCTTTTAAAAGCAGGGTGACTTTTTTCATCTTAAAAACGACCCCATACAAGGGTATAAACACCTAAGTGGAGCCATGGGGGCTGGGACACAGGCTGCCCCTCCCCCGATCTTCTTGCAGCTTGCTTTATTAAAACATGACTTACATACAGCGCCATACACTCATCTTAGATATTCAATGAATTCTTACTCCTATGATGCCCAGATAAACACAGAGAACATTCAGCACTCTAGAAAGTTCCTTCGTGCCCTTTCCTACTCAACCATCCTGCCTCTCTTCTGATTTGCCTCTATCAAGTAGTCTTGTCATAAAAATGGAATTGTATTGTATGTTTCTGGTTTATTTCGTTCAACATAAAAACTGAGACTTATTTGTGCTTTTGCACTTATCAATCATTCTCATTTTACTCCTGTGCACTAGTCCACTGTCTGAGGTACCATGTTTATTTATTCTGTTTCCTGTTGATGTTTCCTAGGTCTTGACCACCATGGATAAAGCTGCTGGGAACGTGGAAACTGACCTGACTAGCTGCACACAAGACTGGACTAAGATCCTATGATTCAGCAATGGGTTTTCGGTCCTGATGTCACACGTATGCTCGAGTTTAGAGCTCGAATCTCTGGAAATTCAATTTTGTCCTCTAGGTTCCCATGAAGAAATCCAGACACTGTGCATCATCCAATAGGAACCCATGAAAGGGCAGCGGGGCCTGGGCGGCCAACCACCACGGTGTCGAATGAGCACGGCATTTCCTTACACTGACTCAGGGGCCCAAACAGCCCTGGACCCATGCCTCGGCCACTCATACACCGTAACTGCTGCCCACGGCACTCTGGCCAACAAGCAAGGGGAGAGGAGTTGACAAGAAGACGTGGAGTCAAAGGCACTCACCCTACTTCCTACGAAACCTGGAAACCCAGTAATTCCAGGGGAGCCTGGCACACCAGGGAATCCTGGCACACCAGGCAGGCCGGGAACTCCGATGTCTCCTTTCACTCCTTTGATGTAGCCGGGCCTTCCAGGCAACCCAGGGATGCCTGATATCCCAGGGACCCCTGGCATTCCCGGAACACCTGCAGGAAGACCCCGAGTGTGACGCTCTGGTGCTCCCCCCTTCCAGGCTTTAAATTTTGCCGTCCCAAGTGCTGCAAGTCTTAAAATTGGAGGCAAGGTGAACCAGGCCTCAAAGAACCACCCAGAGCCCAGGCGGGGAGATGTCAGGGTATCAGAAGGGCCGGAACACAGTGAAGGCTGGTGTGGGCCCAGGGGTGTAGGTGGTGCAGAAGCTGCTGCCCCTTCAGACTGGAGAGAGGCAGGGGCGGGCACGGGGGAAGGGGGGTTTGGGCAGAGAGGAATGGGATCCCAGACCTGACAGCTCAGAGGCCAGACTGGATCTTTGGATGCCACCTCACCTTTTAATCCCAGGTAGCCCTTCAGTCCCATGGGTCCTACATCCCCTTTTTCCCCTTTAAGGTGTTTAATTTCTTCATCAATGCGGGGAGGCGGTCCTGGGGGACCCTGTTCCCCCCGGCTTCCTGGAAGGGAAGAGAATGCAGTCATTTCACTTGACCTCTGGACCAGGCATAAATACCAAGGCGGAGCTGTCCTTCAGAACCTGAGCCCAGAGAGGCTCTGAGAGGAGGGGTGGCATGCGTCCCTGGCTTGGAGCCTGTGCACTGGCGTGAAGGGCTTGGACAGACACACCCCTGTCTTCTCCCTGGCCCCACGTCTCTCTATAATGGAGGTGTGGGCACAGAGCACATCGGGACGGAGGGACCTGCTCCCCTAACAGTGCTGCCAGGCAATGCAGGGATGAGTGTGACGGTAACACAGAACATGAAGGTTATGTATTCACACTGGTGAGACAGCGATCAAACATGATCACGAGGAGAAGCGTTACACGAGGAAGGACACCAGCTCAATCCTTTTTTGTGGGCACGAGCTGGGCCTCAGGACCCACGGCAGGTCAGCCAGAGCTGGGAGGTCTCAGGACTATGCAGGTGGGGTGTTGCAAGGGAACTTGTGAGGGGTTACTACACTGGCCAGGGGGTCTGGAAGGCTGTGGACAAGACAGAGAATTGTGCCACAAGGTTCGGGCTGAGAATGTCCCAGGATCTGTGTTCACTGAATGGAGGGCGGCAGGTCAGGGAGATTCAGCTGAACGGAAATAACGCTGTTTCATTCACTGGACATTTACTGAGTCTGTAGCACAGGGCTAGCTATGGAGGGGAACAAAGGCGCTATAAACTGTTCCGGTCCTCCGGGAGCTTGCTGTCTAGTGGCGGGAAGAGGTCCCCAATGTCTACTTCATTCCAAGGAGGCTGGAAGGGGCGGGGTAGTGGAGTCGGAAAGAAAATGGCACAGTATCCAAGTGTAACTTCATTTAAAAATATCAGTTTTTTGCTCAGTGGCCTGTAAACCCCCAGTTAACATGAAGATTATTTGAAAATTTAAGCATGAGTAGGAAGCCTGGAAAATGTAGTGCCCTACCTAGACTGTAATTTCTATGTTTCTAAGAATTTGTAAACCTTTTAGCTCTTTGAAGAGTTACATTTAATTTCTGAAAAACAGCTTGATTGAGATATAATTTACATACCATCCAATCCACTCATTTAAAGAGAACAATTCAATGGTTTTTAATGTGCTCACAGTTGTGCAACCATCACCACCATCTAACTTTAGACCATCATCATCACCCCTAAAAGCAATCCCATGCCCATTAACAGCCATTACTCAACTATTCCCTAGCCCTGCTTTTTATTAGTTTGTGCCTGGCTTTTGGGGTTTCTATAAGGTTGCTTCTGGGCAGTGTTATGCCCCCATGAACGTGAATGTCAACCTCGTGGGAAAGACCTTCAGAGAAGCAGGCATACCTTTGCCACCTGGCAATCCAATTGGGCCCTTTGGTCCCGGAACGCCAAACCTTCCAGGCTCCCCTTTGTGTCCCGGCTGCCCGGGTCTTCCTTGCACCCCAAGCAGGCCCTGGAAACCATCCATCCCAGGTGAACCTCTAAGACCTGCGGAGGGAACAAGCAAAGCCCTGGGTTAGGCATGGATAAAGGCAAGGCTATTTCAGTCTCACTCGTCTGTGACATTCCCATGTGACTCATGTGAGAATATGCTAAGATTCTTGACCTAAAATAGGGATTTGCAGGATACCATTTCCCAAGAGGCTTGCCTGCTGACCTACTTCAGACTGAGGGGTACAGAAGCAGCCCATCTGCCCCCTGGCCACTGGGGAGAAGGTGAAGGCAAATGAACAGCATCAGGCACAAAGACGCGAGGAAAAGTAGGCGGAGTCCTAGGTCTGAGGGCCCACAGAGAAGAGGTGCGAAGGGGCACTAGAATTAACATGTGTTACACTCCCCCTCCCTTCCCAGCATGGGGGTCTGGCTGAGAACCATGGGAAGGTCAGACCACTGTGTCTCTGGCAACAGTCCATGGCCAGAGGGCTGCACTTCTTAGATAAGCTGTTCTCAGTTACATGCAAATAAACCGATGCTGGCGACCAAACCAGGCCCTTTGTTTTGGTTCTGTTTGCCAGCCAGGCACTGGGTCTGAATCCAGTCTCCACAGATTTCTGCGGATAATAAGTCCTGTGCCTCAGGCAGTCGCTCTCTGGTAAGTTAAGAAATCAGCATTTTGGGCACATTGGCCATGCCCACCTAAGCAGCATCAGCCAGTTTTCACAGTGTCTGAGGCCTCCAGGGCCAGGAGCCTCCAGGCTCCAGCCTGCAGGCACGTGGATGTCTTCCCCTGGCAGAGCTGTCCCATGTCCACGTGTAACCTGCCCAACCCCCTGTGAGGGAATTCCTCGTCATGGTGTACAGTTACCTTTTGGCCCAGGGGTACCAGGCATTCCGGCCATTCCTTTAAAGCCAGGGTTTCCTGGAGGACCAGTCTCACCCAACAGACCAGGGTCGCCTCTGTCACCGGGGACACCTTTCATGCCCAGAGGGCCAGGGACACCTGCGTCACCTGGGTCCCCTCTTTCTCCAGGCAGACCTGTCCAAGAGAGGGGAGAGAAAAATAACCCGGATGGACACACCACATACAGAGAGAATGCCTTTCACGATACGCTTAAATTACAAAAACTCATTGGATAAGAAACACTTCTTGGAAGGAAAACGTGAAACTATAACTATAAAGGTGAGTTTTAAAGGCATGGCCAGCGTCTGTAGAAAACCCACAGGGCTGGCCTTCCTAAAGAGGTCTTTCTCCGAAAGCTGGAGGCGAATGTGGCTTCTCCCTGAATCTGACTTTCTCCACTTGAGCCTCTTGCCTCAGGGAGTTACCGCAGGGAGTTAGAGCGGTGAAATACCAGGCGGGGTACAGGGGGCTCTGCCAGTCAGGATGTGGTCCCATAAGCTGCTCCCAGCTGCCTGTCCCTCTTGGCCATGGCAGCTCAGCCTGGGGATTAAGTTCGAGGGGAGGACTTGCCCCTGCCCACTTGGCTGCTCCCGCCTTCCCCTCCCCCTTCTCCTGCTCCCACCTCATTATCTCATTAAGGCGCCCACTGCTGCCCAGCTCAGCCTCTCCATCTCCTGCCACACAGCTGCCAGCTTTCTGAACACAGCTTCCGTTAAAACCCCAACAGCTCCCTTGCCTAGGGGACCTGACTCCTTAGCTTGGCATTCAAGGCCTTCTACATTGGGGCCCCCTGATCTCCCTCTCCAGACCACCAGTCCCCTTCTCAGATTAAGCTCTCTCCAGCCAGTTTAGGGGATCGCAGCGCCAAAGCTTCCCTTGGGCATTCCCACCTCTGCCTGCCCATCTTCCATGCCTGGCTCACCTCCTCTCCTTCTCCCAGGATGGGTCCAGCCTGCCGAGCTCCCCTGCCCCTGAGAAACCGGGTGCCTCAGGGTCTGGTCACCCCATTGGCTGGCTCTGGCCAAACGCAAGCCTTTTATGTGTATAATTCTCTCCCCATTAAACTGTAGGTTCCATTAGGGCAGGGCACTTGTATGGATTTTTACAAGCCACACAACGCTCTGTATTTAGCTGGTGTTCCATGTTTGAGAACTGCTGAGGCCCGTGAACACTGATGCAGAAGGCCTGAGACCTCCTGCCCAGGGTTTCTGGTACTGTAAAACCAGGGGGTAGCTCGGTGCCCGGAGCATCTGCCTCACCTGAGTGGAGCCTCAGTTTTTGGACACAGTTAGTTTTGGACCAGCTAAGGCTCCTCACGGGGATCCATGGGCCTGTGTGAAGGGAAGCGTCTGGCTTACACCTGGTTCCCTAGTGTTGACCAATTATGGTCCTGGACAAAGCTGTCACCTGACTATGGCAACTAGGAGAACTAGGGTCACTCTGGATGGTGCCTGATCGACACATGAGCCTGACTTCCATTGGCACCACCAAGGCCACCTCCCAGTCTCTCTGGGGACGCAGGGAGAAGGCAGCCATCTACCAGCCAAGGTCAGAGGCCTCGGGAGGAATCAGCTCTGCCGACACCGTGATGTTGGACCTCCAGCTTCCAGAACTGTGAGAGGATACCTTTCTGTCATTTAGGCGATGCAGTGTAGGTGCTTTCAGAACCCCTGCAGCTCCTGGAGAGGTGTGGGGGTCCTTGGAGCAGTTGGAGAACTCCCCAGGGGTGGGGTGGGAGTTTGTTCAGGCGTCAGTGCAAGTGAGGTTCCGACCCCTTGACGGGAGGGTGGGATTCTTACCTCCATGGCCGATGGAGCCTGGCAGCCCCAAGGGCCCCTCCTGGCCAGGAGTCCCAGGGTAGCCATGCTGTCCTGGTGGCCCGGGCAGGCCTGGTTTCCCTAGAGGCCCTGGGAAGCCTAGCTGACCTTTTGGGCCCAGCATTCCTGGCATCCCTTGGCTTCCTGCAACAATCGAGACAAGAGTCATGAGGCCAACCCCATAGGTATGGTCCATGGCAAACCTCATCTACATCCTTAGAATTGTTCTCTAAAAACAGGACTTAATTTTTTTCTGGATTGTAGGAACTCTGGGAAATACAAAGAAGTACAAAAGGTAAGGTCACCGAAACCGGTTTGGCTCAGTGGATAGAGCGTCGGCCTGTGGACTGAAAGGTCCCAGGTTCGATTCCGGTCAAGGGCATGTACCTGGGTTGTGGGCACATCCCCAGTGGGGGATGTGCAGGAGGCAGCTGATCGATGTTTCTCTCTCATCGATGTTTCTGACTCTCTATCTCTCTCCCTTCCTCTCTGTAAAAAAATTGATAAAATATATTTAAAAAAAAAAAAAGGTAAGGTCAAAGGAACTCATGCCATCACCTGGAGACGCTTACTAACATCTTGGCATATTTCCTCCTGGCCTTTTTTCTATTCACATACAAATACCCAGAAATAGGTGTTTTACAAAACTGACATCACACTATAAGTAACATTTGAATTTAGCTTTTTTTCACTTGGCATTTTATTTTGAGCATTTTGACACCTTAAAAATACTCTTTACAAGCATGTTAAATGGCTACATGAATAATATCCCAGCACATGGACACATTTAGTTCCCTCCATCTTTTTTTTTTGTTTTTACAGTGTTACCAGAAAGAGGTTTTTAACACACACACACACACACACACACACACACACACACACACACATCTGTGCCCATGTTGTCAGTTATTTCTTTAGGAACGAGTCCTAGAAATCACCTTAGTGTGTCAAAGCAAACGTGAACTTGAATGGTTTTCTCTCCACACCATCACACAGCTCTCAGCACGCCTGCCCGAAGCGTTTTCCTCCCACTGCTTTCCCGGAATGAGGGCTGACATTAAAACACAGACAGCATCGCGAGGAAAAAGTGGGGGTGTCTGCATGTTTTTGATTATGAGTTACAGCTCTTTCTCCTAGCTTTTGCTATTTGGTGAAATTTTTGTTCTTTACTGATATTTTCCTTTGGGGATTTTGGCATTTTTCTTACAGATCTTAGTATTCCTCATGTACATTAACTTATTTTCCTTCATATCTGTTTTAAAGTTTACCCTACTGCCCAAATGTTCATTTTGTTTTGACATGCAGAATGTTAAGATTTGTGTGCAGATTTTATACATATTTGTGGGTGTGTTTTCTTTTCCTTGATTTAATGTCTAGGATATCCTGTCCTAGCCAGAAGTCAGATAACTATGAGCATATATTTTCTTTTATTTTTTTGTTTTTTAAACACTAACAGCCAGGACCTCCTCCTATTTAGGCATTTTGTCCTTTCTTCTTGGAACTTAGTCTGTTACATTCATCCAGTTGATACCAGTAGAAGGGCTGAGGACTGCCATTTGCATAATGTTTCTCCAATGACTCTCAGGGTCTCGTGCTCATTTGCCCCTGACCATCCTACCAAGTGCGCAGGGCTGAACTGGGGAAAGGAGGCAGACAGCGAGGGGTGGGGAACTGGGTGGAGGAGGGGGATCATTAACGAAAGGGATCACGTTAGTCTTGGACCAGCCCAGACTCTCAAGCCCACGTCCCAGCTGTCTGATTTCTTAAACTGCATCGGGGAGGAAGGGGTGCAGTAAGCAGGCTGCACACATTCTCACACACTCCAGTTTTGCTGTGGGAAATGAGGACACTTATTGTGGGTTCTAGCTTTAGAGTTCACAGCTCGGGAAAGTGTGATTGCTGGTGGCTGCTGGAGGACTCGGAGAGAAGGCAGGCAGTGCTGCCCGTGGTGAGGTTTTACCGGGAGGCCTGGCTCCTGGCACAATACTCCAGACAGACAGGGGATTTCACCACCAGCACCCTACGCTGCATGAACTGAGAGCGCTGAGCAAGTGAGGTCATGGGAGCCGCCAACAGGGTTGAAGCTGGTCTGAGCGCACGTTTCTGGGGTGCTTCCCCCACAGAAATGGCCAGGCCAGGCCACGAATAACTGGCTAAATGACCTCTGCTACTTAAGTGGTTGCCTTAAACACATCAGGGGGAGGCATTCTGTTCTTTCGGTTGTCTGTGGGGCTGAATATTTTAAGTCAATTTCCATTTATAGAACATCTGTTAAAAAAGGAACAATGGAAAAATCAGCTGCCCTCAGCTAAACAAAATCTGACCCGTGAATGTGTGTGATGACGTTATTCCGAAGTTCTGTTCAGAAGCGTGGGCTGCGTCGGGCGCCTCCGTAACTGCCCAACCCGGCCAAGAGGTCTGGCGTGGGGCCATCTGCCTGTGGCTCCTTCTACAGAAGGTGAACCCAGGATGAGGATTCTTGTCCTAAACACATGCTAGACCAGTGGTTCTCAACCTGTGGGTCGCGACCCCTTTGGCGGTGGAACGACCCTTTCACAGGGGTTGCCTAAGACTATCCTGCTGATCAGATATTTACATTACGATTCATAACAGTAGCAACATTACAGTTATGAAGTAGCAACAAAAATAATTTTATGGTTGGGGTCACAACATGAGGAACTGTATTAAAAGGGCCAGAAGGTTGAGAACCACTGTTCTAGAGGAACGCTGGAACTCCGTAGGGAAAAGAAAAAGCAAGACTCCTGCTGTATGGTGCTATCGCCTCTTACCAAACCCCCGAGGAGGGATTTCGGAGCCGCCCCTGCGAGCCATAGGCAGCTGGGTCAGGCCCCTGCTCCCCTCCTGCTGCGGGGACTTACCCCTGAATCCGGGTGGACCCATGTCTCCAGGAATG